GCATCATATAAACAACAAAAGAAAAGCTTCGTGACTTTACATCTGATCAACAAAGCGATGATGAATTTTGGCCTGCATGAGCTCTTTTTAGCGTCATGGAAGCCTGGCTCTTCGAATGTTCTGATGCTGCTATTTGAACCATCATGGTGGTAACGATATGGGCAAGCAGGGCAACGTCATTTCTGCAAGTTGAAAGAAGCCCACCCATACAGCGTAACGTAATTACGAGCTGTTGCCTCTGATGCTGTTATAAAGGCAGAACCTTAACTCCATGTAAGCGGCATTTTTCTTCGTTTGACTATTTTCAAATTGGCGCAAAGTTATGTATAATAAGAGAACGACTCGACACTTGTATTCATTATGAATAGAGTGACTGTTTGCATTTCAGCTGTAAAAGCAACGATCTACGTTGCGGTGGCCATCTAAAACCCAAATCTATCAGGGGTCTATTTTATGACAATGAGACCCCGAGCAAGTTCACCAGGACTAGCCCTCGGTTAGCTTCATAGTTGGGGCAGGTCCTTTAATAATTAGTCATTTTATTCTATTATGTTGTAGATAAAATTTCGCTGACTTCTATACTCAGTATCGCCGTTTTAGTGGCAGGTCAATTGACGAGAGCGCTAAGCATTATAATAAAATATGTTATAAAAGAATCCTCTGTATCGTTTCTACATAGCCAATCTACCGGTTACTACTGTGAATACCTTCTTCCTCATAATATGACTTACTTATGATGTATACGTAAAAGTAATTAGATGCTCATATTCACTATCAATACTAACCGATCTGAAGCAAATTCGGGTCGTGCGTCTGACGCCAATGTTGTATTGGGCATTAGGAGTCAAGCCCAAGACTCGTCTATCACGCAGTTCAATTGGTATCGATATTGAATGTATGTTTCTAGCCTTAGAATAACCATAGTTATTGGCTATTGCCATAACACAATTATAATTAACAATTTGCCGAAACTCATTGGGACACACGATTCGTCAGTTTCGGCACCACTGGGTTTAGTTTAATATACCGAAGAACATGGCCCATTCTAAACGACACTTTATATGTAGCTTGCCCTATTGAGACATGCTGCGTTGGCGGATTCGAACCAGCGACGTTTTACATTTTCAGTGCATTCTCTTACGAAGTGCTTGCGGGTAGGGGAACGATGGCTCAAAACGAAGCATCCTTAATCGCTCTTTGGAGCTTGGAGCCGATTTTTTAATAAGATAAGATGCGTAGCGGAAATTGACGAAGAACCCGTTCCTCATCTGCGGTGTGCTACGTGTGCTAGTGAGTGGCTATGACAGATCTAATTTACAACGAAACGTTCATTAGCAACTAACGACATAGGACGCGATCTATAAGCTGTTGTTGTGAAAACAAATTATGGACAAGGGAGTGATTGGCTAGGTAATGCTGTATAGGCCAAATTCGGCAATCGTATAGCTTCTGGGAACGATCGGTCGATCAGTTGTGTTAATAAGTCCCAGTTGAATAACTTGTTTAAGTTAAGGGATTAGATAGTTAAGAAACAATATGTGAATGCAATACAGAGTCAATCAACTTAATGATTTCGACCGCAATACATGTGAAAATATTCTATACTAGCTAAAACTGTAACGCGCCCGTAAGGTCTAGAGATTCTGATGAGCGGCCTTTGTCCTACGCTGCCCTTCATGGCTAGCAGAATTCAAACATAGACGCGGCAAACCCATCTAGATTGGCCTCTCGCTGTCACTAGCTCTAAACTTATTTCACGGTAGACTGAGTTGCGGAAGCCTTTACTGAAAGCGTATAGCGTGACAAAGCTTGCTTGAACGTCAGCCGCATGGCTTATCGAGTCCAACGCAGAACAAAGTCCAGACAGATCAAAAAGTAGCCTAAATATGCTTAGTTTCGATTTGCCAAAATAAGCTATACGAATAGATTAATTAGCAACTTACATTTGGTCAAAGTTATACATATAGAGTGTTTTATTTTTATCTTTACTATAATGATTTACGTGAAGTACTAATGTATTCATCCAAAGAACTTACTAATGTAAACGGCTGCTTTACTCGAAATTGAAGTGTTAATAATAAAGTAAAGTTACACTATTTCTTCTATCTATTGATTGATTATACATGACGGCCATGTTTGATAGTGGGTTCTACGTAGAATGTTTACGTACACTACGTTTTCTATGAATGGCATCTTTGAAATAGGTCACATCCGATACTAGTCAATATTGACGCTGAACAAACCTTCGTCACTGTTTAGATATACAATTAAAAGCGTAAAATAGTAGGTACCTGATCGAATAAAATGTAACAGAGTCCCTCGAACAATCTACAAGTGAAGGCTAAATTTACAGAAATTTGTATAACGAAAGGTTTCATAATACAAACAGGTACGATAATTATTTTTGTACCATACGTCTATCGTATAAGCCATCGCAGGCGCAACGGTAGTAAACGTACTGGATCAGGTGGGGTGACAGAAGCGAGCCAGGTCATCTCGTGGAACGGCGACCCTATTTTTGAACTTGCATTTCACGACAAACGTTATTAGCTCCCCCAGCTAATGGCACCCAGAAAAAAACATTATAATTATTTTGTTGTCTATCAAAAGTTAGTTCCGTACAGTTCATTTAACGCATATGATTCTAAGTGATTGTTAGAAACTCGTCATGGCTTGCAACTCGAAGCACTTCCGTCGTGAGATATAATCATAGATGGCAGCCCACCCAACGGCACTGTCTCATGCTGGTGCAAGTACTGCTTAAAGTGTTTCGGTCACTTTATGACAGTGATCTAACTAATACTGATTCGTTCTATGTGATTTTCAAGAAGCTAAGCGACCCTTATGTACGTTGGATTTTGGGTCGTGAACAAAAAGCTAAGCATCATGTCAGGAACGTTTTGGGCTCTACTTGAAACGCCGTTTCAGTCAAACGTGTATAATTTCTAAGTGTTTCTAGCTTCATATTTACTGTAGCTGCTTGACTTCACCCTGTTCTATAAGGCAGCATAGGACATGCTTCAAATGTTCGTTTTTTTTAGGCTTGTTCTAGTTATGGACGTCATGGCCGAAAACCACAACGAAGGATGACGACAATCGTATCGCAGTAAAATGGAACGTGTAAGCTAAAAACGTTATCATCGTTGAAGGAAACCGCTGCACTTCATACTTCATTATGGTCTATAACATCGTTGAATAAATACGTGCTACTATTAAAAAGATCGCTGGTGTGGACAAGAGCCCACCATGTTCTGGGTCGTTTTTGACAGCAAAGCCATCTCCACAAAAGACCGCAAAGACTGTTCTTTATGATAAGGAAGCGTGCTGGTCTGGGTCTTTCGAGACAAATTAATACGGTTGGCTCAAACCCACAAACACAATGGGTAAATGCAACTAGTCTAGAGAGACCGTCGCCTCTTCAGCGGATAAGGGATGAAAAGAGAGTGCTGGCTGTCCATCCTCTTTGGCTATTATTAGCACAAAAACAAAAGGCAGTGGAGGGCTGAACCGGGAAAAGAGTGCTCTCTTTACAGGCCAGATTTGTGCCTCCCAGTGTATAATGATATGCATTGTTCATACAGCTCTCAATCGTTAACCGATTTCGTAGAAGAGAACCAGTTTATATTGCTCAATGCGTTTCCTTATTTCGGCTTGCCCAAAGTAAGCACACATTGATCCTCTTTTGGGTGAGCTACTGTGGACGATAGTCTTAAATGTCTATGAGTTTCCCGTCATGTAGCAGCATTGAGCGTTGCTTCAAACGGTTGGCTTTTTCTAAAACATGTCGAGGCCAAATATCGAAGCATGACCGCATCATTTGTCCTAGAGTTGCATGGAGCAGACGCGCTACCACTGCACCATACGGGAACACGAACGATTATCTTAAAATCCATTTACTGTGTTGTCTTATCGGAGGCTATCACGAATGTTCACGTACATACACATTGTTTCAAAAAGTAGTAATTTGTAGTTTTTTTTTTTTTTTTAAGTGACCCTTGCTAATCATAAAGAGATTATTTCACATCTAAGACTATGCAGTACATTCTTATTCTGATCTTTGAACGAGTCGCTGCAAACTGTGCTCAATCAAACCCCGCACCCCAGAAGTACACCACTAGCTTGGCTTTATTTGTCCATCCACAATCTCACTTCATTGTTCGGTCTCGCGAGGCTACATGAGTGGTGTCATCAACGAGCGCGAGCTGCCTGCACCCCCGATAAGCTACTGTCGCCGTTTCCATTAGCAACGAAAAGGGGGAACCCCGCTGGGGACAATGTTTGTTGACGGTGCGAATACACCAAGAAGAGCTATCTAGTAAAGAAACGACAAGGGTCGCTGTGAAAGATAACTGCAGTAAATGCTGGAACGCATACATAAGCGGCACTGGTTGTCGGATCATTGTAGCTACCTCTTGGGAGCTCTGCGTGTCCTCGGCTAGGTTTGTGATCTAAAGCGCAAATGTGAATACGTGGAGCGCTCTTTGAGAGGTAGTTTTCCTGCTTTGTGTAGAATGAACGCAGGCCGGGACGTTGCTGCATGTTACCGACTGTTCTGTTGTTCTTCTACCAGGAAAAATTTTCAGCGAACAAGACTGCTGAAAAATAGAATCTAGATGAATGTCATTTCAACGTCTATAAAAAGATCTGGGCATTGTCAGGACCTATCGTCGGCAATCGGCAAACAGGGCGCTAAGCGTAAAACCATCACTCTAATCCAACTGGCCAACTAGGACGAAGCGGCGGCACATCGACAACATACAGCTAAGCGGGTTTTTTGCTTTAAATTTATATATATATATATATATATCTATATATATGGGTTTTTTAAGGCAAATGAAATAACTGACAACAAAATGCAATTCAATAAAAATTGATCTTTAAAGGTATACATTCTACCTTTTAATTAATTAATACACATTAATAATAAGTATTCGCCAGTAGTTGTTTTTATTAACAAGTGTAATTTATTACCATGTAAATTGTATACATACATCGTGCTGATAACCTATCAAGGGTCTCTGAGTATTTACTATGCTATGAGCTATTAGCTAGCTCTGCCATAGGCCCTCCTTACATTGGAAAACCTTAAAACTTACATTCTCATAACATTATTATCTATACATTTCAACTACTTCCGATCTATTTGTACGCTCTCGCCGCAATCATAGGCGAACCCTACGCTTGAGCATTCTTCTCTGGATAGATATCGAGATAGCCATCTCCGTTTACTGATAGAAGTGGAACTTTTACACTATAAAATTAATCGAATGGCCGTATCTCTGTAGCAAATGCAACGGTCAATTTTAGCGGTTCGTATATATCGCAAAGGGGATCTTCATACTAGGCTATCGTTCCGGGTGTCTGACAATGACAGAATTAGATCCAAGGGAATAAGGCCGAGCAAACAGGAAAATATTGTTCAGAATGCGCTTCGAATGACATGTTTTCTAAACATATGCCAATCTTGGCCTGAAAGCCCAACTTGCTATTTGCCCCTTTCATTTTAATAATAGCTTCTGTGCAAAACGAACTGTGGAGAGCGAATATGCTTTAGTAAGTAAAACGTACGAGCCTTTCAGCTCCCAAGTTCTGCTCGAAATTAGAACCACGAATTCGCCCTTGTTATTACCAATACACCTGTTCATATCGTCACCCCTAATAGTTTGCCTGTCTAGCTGTAGGACCGACACTAGGACGCAGCTGTGTGCGCGAGGACATATAGTCAATATTATCTAAACATCTACCTTCGGACTGTTTTTAGGTAAATAGGCCAGATATGCAATGCGTTATGTGCACTAGCGTGAGGCAGCTAGGTAATCGGCAGTGACAGAGATGCACTTCTCAAATGGCCAAAGCCGAAGTTGCAGTCAGCTTTAGCTGGTACTGCTTCTCATTAGGGCTTTTGTGCATAGATCAGGGTTATGTGTCCGACAGGAAGCTGCAGGAGATGCTAGGAAAAGGCGGCCGCTTGTACAGACGCACAATTGGTAGACGCCCCCGTAGGCTTTTCCTGCTTTAGATGCCAACGGGCTGCGCAGCTTCTCCAGATAGATGGATCCTGCGCAAAGCACAACCTATGGACAAATCCAGGGAATGAACAGATCAAAGTCGATGAGATAGATGACTAGTTGATGATCGTTATAAATATAAAATCTAATTAAATCATAGCGTTCTTTTCTCTCCGCTTTTAGCTCTAATGCTATATTGTACTGAAAAATCTCACGCACGTTCCAAACATATATGCAGATTTTTTTTTGCTTAATTGACATACTACCCTGACGGAGTCATTAGACTCATTCGAATATCGGTTCCCATATCGCAGCAATTGTTCTAACTTATTTTGGTAACTATTCAGATGGTACGCGGTCTTTAACTTATTTCAACTCCTAATCCTAAATGTGCTTTACGGAAATGCTTAAACGTATGCTTTAACAATTTCGTAGAATTCAATATACGAAATATAGAGGATTTGTCGTTTTATGAGTCTTTGGAAGATTACGAGGCAGGCTCCTTTCAGATCTGTACCATGTTATTTTAGTAGGCAGTACCTTGCCTTGGCTGGAGGTAAAAGTCAGGTTCTGGTTGGCTTCAAGGATTACGCGTGCTTCAGAAGATTCGATCGAGACTCTGCGAGGGCCCTCAACGCGAAGCTCGCGAGTGGCACTCTCTATCCGGAGGCCTCCAGAGTCGCCCCATGCCACCACAGGCGTTTGTAATGATACGCCATCCTCGAAACGCACTCCACCACGACCTAGGAGAAAATGGCAAGCGTGCACGGGAAAACTAATTCAAAAAAAAAAAAAAAAGCTGGCCCACCCGCTATATCTAGTTGCAAAGAATTGTTACTGAATATGCATAAATAGATTCGTAGTAGTACGCTCGAAGCCTGTAAAATGCGTATTTCTTGTTGTCGTTTGCTATAGTTGTTTACCCAGGCCATTGTAATATAATAATTTTTTTTTTTATTTAACTTGGCATTTACTTAGTGATATCCCGAACAGGAGAGGAGCTGTAAAATGTAGGTTTGGCTAAAATTTCACTATAGGATTTTTAGGAAGATCGTCCAATTGCATTTTCGGTATGTCATGGGTAAGGCGTTTGTTTTGAGTGTCGAACTTACCAATGATCCTAAGGGTATGTGTTACGGTGGTGATAGCCTGTGACGATGATGCTGATGGTTGCTGGTCTCTTGCTTGGAAAATAAGCTTTCCATCTGCGCTATGTATAGAGAAGCTTTCGGCGAGGACATTTATCCGATCCGGGGCTACAGCAGGACAAAGTGTGAGCACTCTACAAAAACCTCAGGTGGTGCCTTGGCACAAAAATATGCTACTGGAAAACGTTTTTTAATAATTTTTGCGCTTGCCTCTAGAAAAATTTTCCTAACTAACATTACGGAAAGTAGCGGCAATCTTGACGTCTATGGCCAATCACTTGGATAAACAGTAAGTACTGTGTGCGTCATTGTTAAAGCTTAAACAACAAAGAAAATTGCACTTACTAAACCTAAAAGCTTAATCATGCTTTCCTTCCTCTGTCTTCGACATACGAACGACTCGAACGCTAACATACTTTAGACGCAGAAGTATAAAGATATGAGAACTTACCAATTGACATGTAACTTGTAGAACTTACATTGCGAGTTCTTGCTGCCGAGGACAGCGTTATGTTGATCTGCGATAGAATAAAGATTGGTTCATCCTGAAAAAAAGTTGAATGCATAACAAGAGACTAATTGTGGACGCTCGTCTTCGCACCGGTTGCCTAGATGCCACCGGGATACTGTTCGGTAGAGCCTGAGTTGCCTGGCCAGCAACTATTGCGTTTAGTTCCAAGTCTATATGGGCATCTAACTTAAGCGTAAACTACGCTTTGACGATGATTGAATCTACTCTTACCCTTTCTACTACCGATACATAGTATTGCTACAGCTTCATGAAAGACGGCCATCCATCATTTGTAAAATAGATTTGTCTATTAATGAGTGTTTTGCGTATCATGTTTGTCTACTTACGATTCGGGAGTGAATATTTTTGACAGCGATATCATCAAGAAAGTTGACGATGTCGTTGGCTCTCAGTGAGTTAGCTTTGATGGCGACAGAGGGCGCTCCAGTGGCGAGCGAAAAATTTATCGCCCTCGATATCCACAGCGTAAGCAGAAGATTGAGTGCTACGAGCCACGACAACGCGATCAACAGCATCAGAAGGTAGCGCTTACGCCAGCCACGAATGTCGATGACAAGGCCGTCGAATACCGAAGGTGCAGGCGTTAAAGGTATTCCAAACGAGTACTGGCACTGTTACCAAAGGATACATTGTAAATGAAATTATCTAAACTATCTCGTCTCCTATTCGATTGCGCTTTACGCATACGTTACAACAGAACAAATTAATTTGAGTTTTCCAAATAATAAGGTGGCCACCCTGGCCTTCTCGGGTAGGAGGCCTCATACTCATATTCTTTTCGCTCGTTGGGCACAACTGCATTTTGTAGCTACAAGCGCCAGGTCACGCGCTACAAGGTCAAAAAAACCTGTTCTGTTTTTTTATCGAAATTGCCAACTTAATAGGGATCAGGTAGATATCTGTTCTACTTTGAAATTGATCACATCGACACGGGGGTGCAATTAATATGACATACTATACAGCGTTGGTGTAAACACAACAACGGTTTGTCACAGCGAACTTCTATACCAGCCTAAAATTCCGCCGTAGATCTCGGATATGAATTTCGAGGAAAACGAAAACACATATGCCCGTATTTTTAGACAGATAGTTATAACGATCGAGTATATGGCGTTCAGTTAGGGTATCGCTCTGGGATTGTAAATAGATTTGCAAAAAGCTTGGCAAACGCGCACGTACCATGCTGGTCAATAAAGCAAAAAAAAATTACATATGCTAGACAGTCGCAACCTTGCTTGAAAATTATTTTTCAAATTATTTTTTCGGAAACAGATTTTAAAAAAATGGGAATCGGTTCGACTCCGCTCCATCTCTGCCTCTGCAGGATTTTCTAAAGGATTTAGACGATCGAAACAAGGTTGAACAGGATTCCCAGGGGCATTTCCATGGACGACTTCCGATTACATATTGTTCAGGAGCCCGTCTGATTTTCAGCGACCATGTGTGTAAGAAGTAGCGAAGTGTACTCAAACGAATAGTGGGAATATGCTTAAATAGTGCTAACAACTATTATTAAGTGCTCGTATTAGTAAACATTTGCATACCTACAGGCTAGTTTAAAGATCTCTCTAAAGCTAACTACGACTTGCTGAGTCGTTTACAAGTAACTTAGTTACCTGGGTACGAGCGCTACACCCTCGAGGATGTTTAGTTTTGGAAATACGCTTTATAGGACTCGGGATCCGTTTCGGCGGGTCCACACAAAAAATATCATAATGCAATGGCATTCACTGCCTTACAGATCACGATAAATGCGTCAATATAAATGCTCGGTTTTCGAAATCCTTGGATTTAGAGAGAAACACACACACTATGTACACAATCTGTATGCAAAACAGGTGAACTAAAGAAGGTAGTGATTCAAGTTAGCCCTTTTAATAGGCATATTGGGATCACATATAGGCCAACTAGATGCCGTACCCGTTATCAAAAACGCTGTGAGTCAAATAACGTAAATCAATCTCGAATTTATGCGCATTTCAGCATTTAAACACTGACCGTCCGTTGTAGTTCAACCGCATGGCTCATCCGCCCATTTTCTCGCTGCACTAGCACAACGTTCCGCTTAAGAGCGCCCTCTCTTGGCATACGGTGAAAACCGCTGACCAGCTCGTTAGCCCCACTGAATGCCTGGAGGGCAAATTCGTGGTCTCCTGGTGTCATTGCTAAATACTCGACAGCTTCAAACGCACAAAAACGATCTTGTTCTTAATTTTTTTTTAGCACTATATCTGTCAAACGTACATTCGCCAGCTACTAGCACAGTATATATTTCTAATGCGTTATTCAATAACAATTTTTCAAATGATCGGTTACAGGGTGTACGTTGATACTTTCCGAGTTACTTTCTGCTTTTAAATTTAGCACTCAGTACCGAATAAGCTAGCGTCCTTATCCTCATGACATGGGTTTCACCTTAGTCGTATACTCGTCTCCACTTTTATTTGGGTTCGGCCAAATTTTATAGCCACGATCGTTTGGCATAATCAAAGGTTCTTACACTCAGTCATCTCAACACGTCACTAAGTCCTCAGTAGCGTTGTGGAGCATCACGGTAACGAGACGATGTTCACTTGCGGAAGTCCATCGGCTTGGAATCTTTTGCGACCCACGTGTCAACCGCAAAGGGTGGGGCGGGCTGTGAGAGAGGGCCTGTGGGCTAAGCTCCGCCCTCTAGACGTTAAAGGGGCCTTAAAGAGCCTCAGAGTGAGCAAGATTGATCTCGAGGGCGAGGGCATTAACAGAAACATTCCGTAAACCTCATAGGATACGGTTGGCAATTTCTTCTATAAATTACATACTGTCTTACATTAAGCCCACTCTCCGTACTTGGTCGCATTAAAAAACTTACATCCAACAGTACTTCGTTAACGACATGCAGCTATCATTCAAATATCTGCACGCAAAAGTTTTACCATAGCCATAAGTTACGAAGTAACGAAAAGTAGAATATCGCATACGTATTAAGCAGAAGAGTTCATAAACCCATACGATGTAAATTAGTACGAGCGAACTTTTTGCGTGTTGCATAACTGAAATTGACGACAGAACCTATCTATATAAACTATTTCAACTTTGACGAAAGAAACGTCTCACTGTGTAAGTTTTAGAGGCTCGTCTTCTTCGGTCGAAACAGAAAAAACAAACAAGTTGCTCTGAAGTTGGAAAAAAATAAAACTAAACAAAACTGCTATCTGTGTTAATTAAATTTATTTTGTTTCTAATCGAACCTAATGTGATTGATCCTCAATAGTTTGGTTAGACACTGGGGTTTTAGTTCAGAGTAGCGTCAAATCAAGCATACTATTGTTGATTACTTTCAACGTTTTGCTTCGTGCATGATAGAACTGTTAACGGCAGAACGAGCTTTGGAGGCTGTAATCTATTTTTATATTCCATATACCTGCTGTGTCAACGGCATACTTGCCAGCGTTTACGTATAATGATAGTTTTACCTATTGTTCGTGTTTTACAGAAACTACAACGAAAATATAGTAATAGTTCTCCGAACCATTATAATATATAGTCGGATTATGGTCTAGGGTTGATTTTGTCCCTCTCGCGGTGTTTGTAAACAAGTGAGGGCTGGCAGACTTTGAGCCATAAACACAACAGCGAATGGGCTTTGCTACGGCAAAGAACTGTTAGTATCGAAACGAAGCGCTCGTTACGGAGATATTCCGCAAGCGCAAGGCGAGGGGTATACTAAGGCGACTGATCGAAGATAAACTAAAGCACAGCATCGCTTCAGTACAAAGTTGTATTGATGCCCATTTAACGACTTGAGCGTAACGTCGTATTTAACCCGACACGAAGACACTGGACGCAAACAACTTTTGGTTTCGGCAAGACGAGACAGCTTGCCCACCACGCCATCTGGTAGAATACCTATCGGCGATACCGGCGAAACGAAGGGGACATTTGGCTGACATATCTGGATGAACTTATGAATACTAGCCCCATTCCAGAAGAATTCCATCTAGTCCACATAGTATAGATAATGTGACACTAACCAGAGCTTTACGTTTTCAAACCTTTCTCTTTGAATGCTAAGCATTCTAGGTTTATCATTCGCTACTGTCGCTAGAAGTTGCACGTTTTACATGTTTTAAAACAACCTGGCTCACAGCGTTAAAACAAAGCCACCGCCATTGCTCGCCAATAGAAAACTATTCAAAAGGTTTCGTTTTACAGAAGCCTATAGCTAAACAAATTCCCTAATACACACTTGTTTTTTGTAGGTAATAATGTTGACAGAATAAAGTTTCGGAGAAAAGGGTCAACTTACTTAAAGGAAGTTACGCTGTTCGGATAATGTCTGCAGACAACTACTGAGAATCTATTGATGGTTGTCGGACCTCAAACGAAGGCAAAACTGAATGCAGGAAATAAATTTTTCACCAGAACCCTAATAGCAGAACTTCGACATCGCCTGCAGAGAGAAACCTACTCGTTGACCATATTAACCTCACTCGTCCATGGCCACCCTGTTGTGCACAATATTCATCAAAAAAATGTCACCCACCTAGCGCAAAAGCTGGTTCTATCAAAAGGAAACATTCTCAAAGCAATGACTACGTTCAAACCGCGTGCCGCGTAAAAATAAAAAAACATTTTCACCTGAAATAAGCCTGAAACCTGAAATAAGGACATGCATAGGCAAATAGAGAGTATTTAAAGCGAAAGAGGCTGATTTATAACTAGGTAATATTACAGCAATGAGGTTAAGCGTACCTGAGAGGTCGTCAAACCTCTGTTGGAGTTCTACCAGTCATACAGGATTCTAACCAAAAGATAAAAGTTACGTTTTCTGCGCTGTATTTTGGTCTCATTTATTGAAAATAACCGCTATAATCTGGATTTTAAGGAATAGGTAGTAAAAAGAAACAGAACTTCAGATTTCACTTTATTTTCTATGGGATCAAATAGGTTTGCGAACACTTTATAACTTCGACATATTTCCATCTATAAAAGCTTAAATTTACACAATTGGCGCATAATGAGGGACTTTTTGAGTCGCTTTAACATGACGAGTAGAGGACGAAGAAAAGCAGCCATACATCAAAATAAGATGCCACGTCAAAGGCCAACTTTTAATATTTCAGAAACCGCGAATACTTTAAAGTTTAAAAATAAAACAGATCCAATATTTGAGCAAAATAAATCGAACATTATAATGAATATGTTTCCACTCACAAACATATATAATAAGATATATAATAAATATATGCCACAAGTCACGATTCTAACTGATACAGAAGCGTGTAGTTTTCAGTTGGCAAAAGGATGTCCAATAAATCAATAAAAATCTGCCATAATTTTAGTAGGTGAACGTAAGCATCGGTTGAACGAAGTAGTTTTTCTAAAGGTATAAACGTACATAAAATCTAATGAAACTCAAGTTTTCTTTATAATAATAATAATGGTGGTTGTTGTGACAACAGCACCTTATGATAGCACTGCTAAGCCACCGTTAACTTACTTATAGCCTCGTTCATGTCTAGCTAATCAATGTTATCCTAAATTCACGCCCCTTTATTTATAGAGCTCTAGACGTGCTCCATGTAATCTCCAACCTCGTTTGCTCACTGTTTCGCGATACGGTCCATTCCCGTACCATAGCATAGAAACATAAAACAACATCCCTGTGTTACGTACTGGTCAAGCTCAAGAAGCAAGTCTGTAATCATCATGTCAATCCTGTTCGTATTGCAGCTAACGTACTCGAACCAACTCCTCCGCCCTCCCTTCGATCTGCTTTCCACTCTATTATCTCTCCTTTTACCTCGAAGTCTTCCTATTCCGCCTGGTAGACCCGATCGTGTATAGACACGGAAGTGCGCTGAACAAGTTCCAATAACATCGTCAACGGGCAGACCCCTACAGTGGCAACAACATATAACCAAGAATAATAACGGATCTTCGGACAAGAAGACAGTGTACCCGTATCGACGTCGACTACTTTTTGTCTGTTGGTGGGTGTAATTACCTTACGTTCCCCGATTGATCACATTATCGGGTTCTAACTATGGCTGTTATTTGCTCAAAACGCAACTACCTATCCGGAAGGTCTCGAAGGATGATCATGCTGTAAATTTCTTGTGAGCCTTTGCTTTACTGTTATAAGATCAAACGAGCGATTAATGCGCCATTTTTAATGTAGGCGTATAGCACTTTTCAGAGTTTTATAGAACTATGGTGTATTGACAAACAACGTAATATTGATATACGGGTCCTATTGGCAGTTTGTTTAAAAGAAACTAGGTTTTTTTTGAACAATAATTATTTTCGGCGTATATAGTGCCATACCTGTTTTTCTGCCATTAATACTGGTATATTTATCGTATGAAAAAATTCCCAGTAGAGCCGCTGTCTAGTGATGAAAACACAAGTTTCTCTGTTCGCATCGAGATTGTAGGAAAATAGGGAAGTGGACACGGTTGACATCAAGTTTGATTGCCTCGAGGGTGTCGTAAGTGTAAGCAAGTAGAGTTCTATATCATACAGAAGTACATATCGGCGAAGCTATGAAACATGGCGGCATGTGACTGCAGGTGTTGGGCCTGAGCGATCGAAGACCTATAGCCGAAGCCCATATTCCACACTTTTTCAATACTTACGTGCAGGATAGGGTCTTCCCACGAAATCCATGCAAGCTATAAGAGCAAATAAAGAGACCTTCGTAACTTGAGAGGCCTCTCTCAGCCGCATCGTTCTAACGTCTACCGTTCCTTTGTCGCAGTAGTGCTAATGAAGTGAGTGCTTCCTCTCGTGCATAGATCCAATTCCCATGGAAAACCGCATCTATCACGAAAAGATCGGGTGTCGTTTCGTAAGATCCAAAAAACATACTGTGCATGTAATATGCTCTTATAGTTTGTATCGATAGACTATAAACATATATCCTGCATGCGCTGTAGGAACAATTTCTAGTCTACTCTAAGATAGAAGATATTCTTTTAGTTCGTCACGACGCCCGAGATGGCTCATCTATTTTCTACTAGGTACTTTGGTTCTATTCCTAGACGGACAGGTACATCTTTGAACGAACAGCCAAGGATCATTGCGGTAACTTTCGCAA